AGTCCCACCATGTCAGGACTATCATCTCCTTTCCACACATAAAAGAGATGAAGTCACTGGCTCTGGGTTCTTGGTGGTTAATGGCAGATCTGGGATTTGAACTATGTCTGACTTCTTTTCCACTTAATTCCTGAAATCTTTCCAAGACAGTAAGGAAAGGGGGAGGTGGAGGGGAGAGAAAAGACTTTTTAAATATAGTTTAGCATAGTCTACAACTAGCCATTCCACCCAAAAAAGTGAAAATACAAAGACTTCTACATGAATGCCCATAGAAGCTTCATCCATAACAGACCAAAGTGGACACCACCCAGACATCTGTCAGTAAACGGGGTCATTGTGGTCCGTCCACACGATGTTGATGGAATAGGACTCAGCAAGAAGCATAAGCGCACTGCTGATATTGGTGACAACGTAGATCAATCTCGGAAGCATGATGTTGAACTAAAGAAGCCAGACACAGAAACATAGGTAGTGTATTATCCCATTTACAAGCTCTTCTAGAAGAGGAAAAACCAGCCTATGGAGACAGAAATCAGAACAGAAGTTACCTTCAGGAGGCATTGATAGAAAGGGGACTTCACGGATGGAAGAATTTGCTGTCTTGCTCAGAGGGGTGGTTACACAGATGCACACGCATGTAAAAATGTATTGAGCTATGTATTTAGGAGTTATTGTTTTACTACATGCAAGTAACACCTCCATAAAAAGTAAATCAACAAAGACAGGGAAGGGGTGGCGGCACAGGGGGGATGCGGAGAGGCTGGAGGATTCAGCAGTGGCTTTATAGTGTCATCTTATATATTCTCTTCAATCCTCACTTGCAAAGTAGGTATAATAAAGCCTTCCTTGCAGTGCTGTTGGGGAAATGAACGTTTGTGAGCACAAATTTCTGACAGAGGCCTTGGCCTCTGGTAACCAATCAGCGAATGGGTGGCTTTGGCTGGGATTCTGCTGATGAGCTCAGTAGGGGCCACAAGGAGAATGGAAAGAGGGACGGCAGGGGCGTGATGCAACCTCCTTCCCCATCAGTGGATTTCATCATGACAGCTCAGTCCTCGCTCTGCTGTCCTCCCCCAGACTGCTGTCCTTTTCTCATGGGCAGACAGAGGAGGCGGGTGGAAAAGCAGCTTGGGTGGAGGTGGAAGCCCAGGCTTGGCATCAGGTTCTAGGTCCTGACTGGGAGGCGTTGGCAGCCTGCTAACCTCTCCTTCCTCGGTGTTAGACTCCAGCTTGAATAACAAAGCGACTGGTTTTGTGTTTTGTTTTACCTAAGAAGTTGCACACCTCACACAAATTTTTAGCATATGCAAAAGTTTCACACTTTCACCCTGGCAAGACACCTTAGCCATCGGATGAAAGAAACGCTCCATTTCCATGATCCTTGATTAACTCCGTTCATGAAGCAACTTTCCATCACCTATTTTGTGCTCAGTACAAAGCCACCGAGATGGAAAAAACACAATCCCTGCCCTCAGGTCACTTGCAGCCTGGTGATGCCACCAAGCTTTGGGGTCGTGAGTCTCACAGCCTGGTTAGAATCTGCCCTCCATCACTTGCCAGCTCTGTGAGCTGGGGCTAGGTGTTCGACGTCTATGAACCTCAGTTTCCTCATCTATAAAATGAGATAACAGAAATATTGACTTCATAGGCTTGATGTGAGGACAAGGAGTTAATCTGTAACAAATGCTTGGAAGGGCTCTGGCATGAGCCATGTGCTCACTGTTAGTTATATGCTAATGTTACAAAGGAATGTGTACGAAGTGTTGTGGAAGCAACAAGCAGGGAGAAAGAGAGGAAGGGAGAGAGGGAGGTACCCGTTTCAGCATTAGGGTAACACTCTGCCTTGGTTTCCTCATCTGTTCTAAGGAGATAACAGTGGTGCCCACTGCACAGGATAGAGTGAACTGCGCAGATGAAGTGTTTAAGACAGGGCCTGGCAGAGGCCACGTGTGCAAGGACTCTTAGCCATGATTCAGGGGGTGGCATACCACCGTTGGAGTATTTGGAGATTTATATTATAAAATGGAAGCAAGAGGCCTGTTAAAATCAAGCAAATAGAAATGCTCAAAGTCAACATGAAGGAGTCAACAGGGTAAATCGAACCATTTGAAGCCAAGGCCAGAGTTGGGCAAATTAAGAGCCCTATTGCTCTCTGTTATCTAAGCCACCCACGTAGGGCATGTATTTCTGAATAATAAGCCCTAAAGTCCTGCTGGGTCTCCCACAGTCCCCATGCAAGAGTGAGTCCTGCACGCTCAGCCCTGCCTGTGGTTCCCGGAAGGCCTCTGTCACTGCCTGCTCACTTCCTCTCCCAGGGAAGATACCCCAGTGCCGTGTCTCGGGGCAAGAGAAAATGAAGACAGACCTGGAACATGAACATGGTGGCCTTGTCAGAAAGCAAGTGTGTGTTGCTGAAACATCAGCAGAGGCTGTCAAAGGGATAAAGAGATGGCTTAAAAGGGTTCCTACTGACCAAAATGAGACAAGTTGACCATCTAAAATCAAATCATAATTATAGTTCAATAGGACACATTTCGTCTCTTAAATCTTCCAATCCATAATGACCATCATGGCCCATAACCTCAAAAGAGTAAAGTTACAATAAAGTTCAGAAAAGGTTAGTTGCAATAAAACATTAGTTTTATTAATTTTAACAAGAAGGGGGATGAAGCTATAGATGCATTTTTATTCCTTCTTTTAACTATGTTGCCCCTTACAATGTACAGCTTTGCCTTATTTTTCTCTGAGTAAGGATAAAGAGTAAAGGCCGGGCATGGTGGCTCACACCTGTAATTCCAGCGCTTTGGGAGGCCGAGGCAGGAGGATCACTTGAGGCCAGGAGTTTGAGACCAGCGTGGCCAACATGATGAAATCTCGCCACTACTAAAAATATAAAAATTAGTTGGAAATGGTAGCGCATGCCTGTAATGCCAGCTACTCTGGAGGCTGAGGCACGAGAATCGCTTGTAATCCCGGAATTCAGGAGGTGGAGTTTTCAGTAAGCCAAGATTGCGCCACTGTAACTCCAGCCTGGGTGACTGAGACTCTGCCTCAAAAAAAAAAAAAAAAAAAAAGTAAAAACAAGAAGTTGTGAGTAGGCCAAATAGTTCCAGAAAAAGCAGAAATCCCCCCTCCCACCCCCAACACACAGGAAGCGGCTCAGGAGGTGACGCAGAGAAGGAAAGTGTGTCTGCTGGGGTTTTGCAAGTTGGTTAATTTGAAAGATCCCTCAAGGAGGTAAACAAATGGTGCAAACTTCATTCATTCATCTCCTGGAAGATAAACTTCGAACACCCAACTAACCCCACCAATTAAATGAGTTATAGGAAGACAGACACAAGTGTCAATTATGCTAACAGAGCTCTGTGTTAAATACCCCACCAGCATCGCCTCATTTAAGCCTCACAACTATGTGGGAAAGAGACTTTTATCCCCATTTTACAGATAAGGAAACCAACGCTCAGAGAACTGAGGCCCTCCCCCAGATCCAAGTCCGCTTAGCTCCAGTCACCCCACGTCCTCTGCATGTCACAGGTGCTCAGAAAGATGCAGATGCACCTTCAGGAAGTCAAAATGAGCAGAGCCCCTAAAGAGCAGATTGACGGCCTCTTTCTGGAAAAAATGGAAGTTTGAATCTGAGGAGGTATCCCTCAACAACAGGTGCTGCTCACCAAGTCTGGGGCCAAACGCAGCAGCTGTTCTCCCACTTAGACCCCTGAGACCCGTCTATAAGGTTTTTCAGAGCGAGGACACATCCCCAAAGGTCGTGGCGTCTGGTGGTTAGCATTGACTTGGGGCCCATCACATGCCCGAGGCTGCCCGAAGTGCTTAAATGTTATTACCTCATTTGATCTTCACAATCCTAACGGAAGTGACTCTTCTTAGAGTCTCCCTATCTCACAGATGAGGGAACCGAGGCACAGAGAGGTTAAGTGGCTTGTCTAAGAGCTCACAGAAAGAGCGGCGGAGCTAAGGCTTGACCCCAGATGTTAGATCCTGAGCCCATGCTTTAACCAGTGACCTGCACTGCCTCCCAAAGAAGGAAGCTGGTGCCTGGGAGGGAGGGTGCACAGCGAGGGTGTGCATGGTGCATGTGTGTGTTTGTGGGGTGGCCAGCACTCTTCGGGGCACTTTGCCAACGAGTTCAGCTCCCCTGAAGTCCACTGTTGTTCTCCTGACCAGTCACTCAGTCTGGATTTACTTGGCCCAAGGCCACTGGCACCAGCCTGGCCAACATGGTGGCCAGGCTTACCCCCTTAACCGCTGTCTTGCTGCAGACTCCAAATCTTGACTCCCACATCCCTATCCAGCCTATACCATGAGGCTCCCATCTCCAGGCAGGGCCCTGTGATGGGGCAGGGCCTCCCCAGATGCCCCTTATTCATTACCAGCTCACGGGATCTTCCCATGATGTATTTCCTCCGAGGGGATCAGCCCAGATGCTGCAATAGACAATTCTGGAAGTAACCGAGTGGACAAGACTTTCCCCATCGTGTCCTGGGGTTCCTGTGGTCACAGTGTCCTTGTGAATGGCCACTGAGTGCTCCCACCTCCCCCTACCCCCCGGGGTTTTGTCCTGGTACATTTTCCCAGATCTTCCCAGCCCTTCCTCCCAGGATGGATGTCCAGAGCAGGGCAGGGGCTGAGCCTAGAGCCCTGAAACCAAAAGAACAGGACCCCAAATTCTGAGCCCCTTACTTGCCCCACCTGCTCCCACCCATGCTTTCTTCATTCCTCCTCCAAATGCCCCAGCTCCCCACTGCAATCCCTTCTGCACCCAGCCAGGTCCTATGACACACACCTCCCCAGTGCACACAGACCTGCCCAGCTGCAGGGCTGCCCACTGGGCACATCATAGGTGGCTCAGTCCTCTTCCCTCTGCAACTGGCCCCAGAAACCTGCCAGATGTTGGTGCCAGGTCTGTGCCAGGAAGGCAAGGCCTGTCATTTCTAGTAATCCTCTGGGCAGTGTGACTGCACCTTTTACGGCAGCTCAAAGGAAGAGGGTGACTCGTCCTGGGTCACAGAGCTGACAGGGCGGGCAGAACAGGTGACATGCAGGGCTCTCTGAGTTTATGAGGGCCCAGTCTTGTGTCTGCCTGGCAATGGGCAAGGCCCCTTCCTGCCCAAGCTCCCCGCCCCTCCCCAACCTATTGCCTCTGACACCCGCCACCCGAGGCCGACTTCCTGGGTGGGCAGGAACTGGGCCCTGTGCCCAGGGCGTGCACTGCCTCCACGCTGCAACCCTCAGAGTACTGAGCTGAGCCAAGGAGGAAGAGGGGATCGGCACTCTGAGGAAAGCCTAGCCACTGCTGCTGCCAGGAATTCCAGGTAGGAGGGGCGGCAACCTTCTGCCAGCCCCCAGGCCACTCTCCTGTGCCTGCCAGAGGGGACGGAGCTTGAGGAGAGCAGGAAAGGTGGGGCAATGCTGCTGCTGCTCACTCCGTTCCACAGATGGGAGGGACAGTGGGGCTTGGAGTGGGGGTCATGGCACAGATGGGAAAACGAAGGCTCAGAGAGGGCAAGAAATGCCCAGGAGGTACCGAGGGCAGGCGACCTCAACCACAGCCCAGCACTGAAGCTGTGAGTAGACGTAGAGTAGCAGAATATCCATTCAGCCAGCTCAGGGGAAGGACAGGGGCCCTGAAGCCAGGGCATGGAGCTGGCAGGGAAGAGAGCTCAGAGAGAAGGGGAGGGGAGTCTGAGCTCAGTTTCCCACTGCCCGAAAAGAGGGTGGTACCTACTCCCCTCACAGGGTAACTGAATGAGACTGCCTGGAGGAAAGCTCTTCAAATGTGGCCCACCCCACCCCAGTGACGCCTGACATGGGGGAGGAAGGACAGCATCAGAAGGGACTTTCCGGGCACACCCAGCACCCAGCTTGAGCTGTCCTTGAACTGTTGCATTTTAATCCTCACAGCAGCTCAACAAGGTACATACCGTCACCGTCCCCATTTTACAGATGGGGAAATTGAGGCTCAGAGCAGTTAAACAACTCACCTGAGGCCTCACAGCCAGTAAGTGGGTTCCCTGGTCTGACTATGTGTGCTGGAGGATCCTGTGGTCACTCGCCTGGTAGAGCCCCAAGGTGGAGGCATAAGTGGGACTGGTGAATGACAGAAGGGGCAAAAAACGCACTCATCCATTCATTCTGGAAGTATCCACGGCACGTACGCCAGCTCCCAAGCAAGTTTGCACATTGCACAAAGGGTGATGCAATCTGATTTAGGTTTTTAAAGGGATTGCAATCAAGTGGGGCCCCACTGGCCTCAACCCTGTACCACCCCTCCCTTCCATCCCCAGTAGTCCCCAAAGACCTCCATCAACCCCAGGATGGGGGCCGTGTTCCCAAAGAAAATCCAAGCTGTATATGCATCACACTGATTTTCCAGGAGCAGAAACAGAAACAGGCCTGAGGCTGGTCAGAAATGAACCTCCTCCTGCTCTGAGCAGCCTGCAGGGCAGGCTAAGCAGAGGGCTGTGCAGACCCACATAAAGAGTCTACTGTGTGCCAGGCACTTCACCCAAGGCACTTCACAAGCATGCTTGGGAATGAGACTTCCAACTCTCTAGGATGCAGGTGAAACACTTCCTGGTTCAAACAGGTGAAGCGGCCTGCCTGAGACAGCATCACTCTTCTTTACAGATTTGCTCTCCCACCTCTACCCTGTCTCATGGTCCCCCATGCCAGCCCGACGCTTGTGTCTGCCTCAGTCATGCTTCATTTTTCCATCCGGACAATCAAGAGGGTTTTTGTGTCTAAGGCTGACTGGGTAACTTCGGATGAGCGGCCTCTCTGCTCTGAGCCTCAGTTTCCTCATCTGTCAAATGGGCTCTAACCCACTCTGATCTCCCAGGGCGGCATCAGTCTTCAGCATCAGGCATTTCGGGGTGAATTAGTAAATGGTAGATCTTGCTACCAGTGGAACAGCCGCTAAGGATTCTGCAGTGAGAGCAGAGGGCCAGCAAAGTGGTACTCTCCCAGCGACTGTCTGACTCACGCCACCCCCTCCACCTTGGACGCAGGACACTGTGGTTTCTGAGCCAGGTACAATGACTCCTTTTGGTACGTGCAGTGGAGGCTGTATGCTGCTCAGGCAGAGCGTCCGGACAGCGTGGGCGGGCGACTCAGAGCCCAGCCTGTGAACTTAGTCCCTGTTTGCTCCTCCGGTAACTGGGGTGATCTTGGTTAATATTCACCAGCAGCCTCCCCCGTTGCCCCTCTGCATCCACTGCTTAAATACGGACAAGGACAGGGCTCTGTCTCCTCAGCCTCAGGCACCACCACTGACCTGGGACGGTGAATCGTAAGTATGCCTTTCACTGCGAGAGGTTCTGGAGAGGCTTCTGAGTCCCCCACGGCCCAGGCAGGCAGCAGGTCTGGGGCAGGAGGGGGGTTGTGGAGCGGGTATCCGCCCGCTGAGGTGCCGGGCAGATGGAGGGGCTGCAGCTGGGCTCCTATTGTCGTAATAACAGCAGCCATGAGGGTTGTGTCCTGCTTCCCAGTCCTGTCCGGTCCCCACTCAGTACCTACTGGTGGATACACTGGCTTTTGTAAGCAGAGGTGCATGAGGGTGTCTAGCTCCGCTGTCCTGGCACCCCAAGATACAGCAACAGCAAGGAAGCGCAGCCATTTCTTTCTGTTTGTGCAGCTCCTGTGTCTGTCAGGGGGTTCCTATCTGTTGTCTCCTGTAAGCCTCACCACCTCTCCTACTACTTGGACACGCATCTTCTTCCCCTTCTATGGATGAGGAGGTTAAGGTTCAGGGAGGGGTGGGGAGGAACGCCAGCTCACATTCTCCATCCCCTCCAGATATGGCCAGGAACAGACCTGTGCCAGGTCTCAGCCTTACATCAAGATGGGTCTCCCCATGCACTGTGGACCTCTGGGCCCTCCTGTCCCAGTGGAGGACAGGAAGCTGTGAGGGGCACCGTCACCCAAGGTTCAAGCTGGCATTCCTGAATAATCGCTATGTGCCAAGCCACGGCTAAGCTCAGTGCACGATTAAGCCTCATAACCCTCCAAGGCAGTTACCAGGGTGATTCCCATTTTACAGATGAGGAAGTTGGGGACCGAGTGGTTAATAACTGGCCCCAAATCACACACCATCCATAATTTGGGCTCAGGCACCTGGCTCCAGGCCCCGAAATCCTGAGCCTGGCCCTAGTGCTCACCGTTTCTCTCGGGTCTCAGGCGCTGGATGGGGAACAGGAAGCCTGGGCTGGACTTGAGGCCTCTCTGATGCTTGGTGACTTCAGACAGTTGCTCAACCTCTCTGTTCTCTTGGGCAAAACATGATAACCTTTGATCTCTGTCCCCTCCCCTCACCCCACCCGACCTTGATCTCTGGAGTGTTGGAAGAATTTAATTTTTCCTGCACTGAGTTTGGAGACAGGGGTCAAAAAGCTGACCAAGGCCAAGCTGGCCAGTTTCCCATAGAACGTCTCTAAAAGACCTGCAGCACTAGCAGCAAGAACTCGTATTCTTGAGAACTTACTGTGCACCGGCACTTCTTGGTATTTTGTGCATATTTAATTTCACAATAACCCTATGACAAAGTCCACCTTTCTCATCTCCAGGAAACTGAGGTTCAGAGAGGTTAAGTAACGTGTCCAAGGTCACACAGCTAATAGCAAGTTGATCTGGAGCAATCTGGCCTGAGAGCCTCTAATTTTAGCCACAAACTGAGGCTGCCCCTCTTCATTTAGCCAGGCCACCTCTAAAGTCTTCTGGTTCAAGACTTCTGGCTCCAACTTTGTACACAGAGACGATTAAATGTCAGGTTTTGCAGTCAAATCTGTTTAATCCCAGACAAAACATCTGGGATTAAATCTCAGTTTTGTAAGCAAGTAGCTCTGTGATTTTTAGTGAGTTATTTAATCCTCTTTGGGCCTCAATTTTTCTGTCTATAAAATAGGGTTAATCATTTGCACCTCATAGGGTAAGCTTTGAGGACAGATTAGATGATACAGTGCCTGTAAATCGCCTGGTGTTAGTAAGTGTGGCAATGATGGTGATACTGAGGCTGATGTTTGCTTAGCATAGGTTAGGCAGCTAGCAGGCAGTAAACAAATACTTGGAGAATTTAATGGAAAATTGGCCAAACTCGGATGCTGTTCACTGCTGAGCAGGAGCCCCTTCCTGCTGAAATGGGTCCTGGGGAGTGCAGCAGCTGGCCAGGAAGAAATCTGCCGTCTCTCGGGCAGGAGCTCAACCTGTGTGCAGGCACCTGGTGCCCACTCGCGCATTACGTCAGTTATTCCTCATCTCTCTCCAAGGGATCCTTTTCTCCACTGTACAGCGCTGAAGCCAATGCTCACAGAAGTGAAGTCATTTACCCCAGGCCCCCTGCCAGTAAGTGACAGGGCCTGGTCACACTTGGGTTTATTTACTGCCCATTTCAACAGGTTGTTTGACCATAGGCGAGATTCTCTTCCCTGCACCCTGCTGGGTTGCTCTTGGTCCCTTATTTTATGCTCCCGGGTAGAAATGGTGTGAGATTAGGCAGGAAGTGGCTCGCTTCCCTCTCCCTGGCCCTGCAAAGGGTGCTCCCACCTGCCCCAGTTCCAGAAATGTCACCATGAAGTCTTCATTCTTTTGTTTTAAAGCTTGGCCTCAGTGTCCATACACCATGGGGTACTTGACCATCTACTTTCTCCTCTCCAGTCGCCCTCCCAGGCACTAGCTTTTGAGGATGCAGGGTGCTGCCTCTGATAGAAGGGCCAGGAGAGAGCAGGTTTTGGAGTCCTGATGCTATAAGGAACAGCTTGGGAGGCATAATGAACCCAACACGATGCTTGAGACCCATGTCAGAGCCCAATTCTGCCATTCATCATCTGAGATTTGAGGGCACAGCTGTCTCAGTCCGTGATCTGAGTGCTGGGAAAGCCAAGACTTGTTCCAGCTTTGTCACCGACTTGCTGTATGGCCTCGACAAGGCCCTGACCCTCTCCGGGCTTCAAACTCTTCACTGTGAAAGGAGGAAACCAGAGGAGGTGATGTGACGCCAGGAAAGATGGATGGGTGTGGGGGAATTGTGCTCCTCCCAGCTGTCACCCCCTCTCCACCCTCCCTACACCAGCCTTGCCACCTCCTCTGAGCCCAGCAGCCCCATCTAGGAGGGTGCCTCTCCTCATGCCTAGTCACAGGAATTCTCCATCTGTTTTGCTACATCGAACTCAGATGCCATTCTAACCAAGAATCCTGGCTGGGTGCAGTGACGCTCGCCTGTAACCCCAGCACTTTGGGAGGCCAAGGCAGGCGGATCAAGAGGTCAGGGGTTCAAGAGCTGCCTGGCCAACATGGTGAAATCTCATCTCTACTAAAAATACAAAAATTAGCCAGACGTGGTGGCATGTGCCTGTAATCCCAGCTACTTGGGAAACTGAGGCAGGAGAACTGCTTGAACCCAGGAGGCAGAGGTTTCAGTGAGCCAAGATCATGCCACTACACTCCAGCCTGGGGGATAAAGCAAGACTCTGTCTCAAAAAAAAAAAAAAAAAAATCCTATGTTAGCGTACAGAGGTCCCCAGTGAGGTCTTCTCCCAGCCCCACTTTGCACAACTGGGGAGAGTGAGGCCCCAGGACCAGGGGATGCTTACTCAAGGCCAAATGGATAGTGATGGCCCTGCCAGGACTAGAAGCCACAACTTCTGGCCCTAAGGCCACTCAGCGTATTTAGTGTCCCCACCCTGCAGAGGCCCAACTCCCTCCTGACCTCTGAGCCCTGTAATGATGGGGGAATTTCCATAAACCATGAAGGACTGCACAAAATCCAGTTGGGAAGTGAAAGAGAAACCTAAGGGAGATGGAAATATACAGCACTAATTTTAGCACCGTCTTCAGTTCTAACAACACTAGCTAGTTGAAGAAAAATACAAACATGTATTATGTAGTGTGTGGTCCGTTCCATTTGGATTACTTAGAGGCAAGAGGCCCAGGAGAAAGGTGATAGAGAGAAACCAGCTTTAGGCTTCATTTTGTTGCTTTACTGGAAAGAAACTTTTAACAGTCCAGGGGGGTCAATGAATCTCAATATTTGTTATTTCCAACTTTTTTCTCCAGTGTTTCGTTTCCCAAATTCAAGGACACCTTTTTCTTTGTATTTTGTTAAGATGATGATTTTACTTTTGTGACTAGTAGTTAACTATGTGGCTGCCAGGCATATTCTCCTCAGCTAGGACCTCAGTTTTCCCATCTGTGTAGACAGCAGGTTCTACTTAGGGGGCTGCAGATTGGTGGTCCGAAGTCTGGGCATATCTGGAGTAGAAGGAGCACTGTGGGGCAGGGCAGGCTCTGCGTTGCTGTGGATGACACTGACTTTGAGCATTGCTCAGCAGAGCCTGCTCTCGCCGGTTCAGCCACAGGCCCCACCACTCCCTATTGTCTCAGCCCCAGCTATGAAACATGTATTCCTCACTGGACTATCACCTGAAGGCTTTGAATTTGCAACACCTGTCAACCCCTCCCTCAGAAGGGTTGCCCTCTCAGATCCTTCTGATGTAAGCTTTGGTTTCTAGACTTATTTCACTAAATTCTTCCAACAGCCTCACTTTATGTATGAGGCAAAATGAGGACCAGGGAGAGAAATGACGTGTCCTGGCTCATACACCTGGAAAGTGACAGAGTCAGATTAGATCCCAGGTCTATCTGAAGCTAAAAGAGATGCTTTTTCACTTCCCACCGCCCCCATCTCCTTTAAAGCAGCACAAAGCCTTGCTTTACAGGAGAGGTGAGCTTCTCTAAAGTCCCTGACAGCAAGAGCCCAGAACTGGGACACCATTGGTGATCCAGATGGCAGGTGAGCTGACTGCAGGGATATCAGCCTCTTCTTGTGGCTGGGACCACAGAGCATTGTGGGGACAGCCCCCTCTCTTAGGAAAAAACCCTAAGGGCTGAGGATCCTTGTGAGTGTTGGGGGGGAACAGCTCCCAGGGGATTTAATCACAGCCCCACCATGCTCTAGCTGGTGCCATTGTGCAAGATGCGTTTCCCTTCTGTGCAGCAGTGTCCCTGGCCACTCAACAGTGGGATTAGATAGAAGCCCTCCAAGGGCTTCTAGCTTGACGTGATTCTTCATTCTGATCTGGCCCGATTCCTGGATAATCGTGGCCAGGCCCATTCCTCTTCTTATGCCTCATTTGCTTCTTTTGTAAAACAATGGCTGTACCACTTGCATCTTAGGGTCATTGCAGGTGTAAGTGGAGCTGTCCAGAGCCTGGGCGCAGGACCTAGATGTAGGATTCTGGTTCTGCTACTTTACTTCCTCCGTGACATTGAATAGGTGACCTAATCTCTCTGGCTTTGGTTTCTTCATCGGAAAAAGAAGGATAGTAGCATCAGCACCTCACAGGATTGTTACAAGAAAGCAATGAGTTAACACATGTGCGCACGTAGAACAGTGCTTGGCATATGGTAAGCACTACATACATTTTGCTATTCTTCTGATTCTTTCAGTGTTGCTGATGTCAGCAAGTACTTGGCACAGGCTGGTTTAATAAGCCTTAGGCACTTCCACGTGGTGTCAATCCCGGGTCACTGGGAGTCATCATGTGCCCTGACTCGGGGCCTGGCCCCCGTCTCTGTCTTGCAGGACAATGCCATCTTCTGTCTCATGGGGCGTCCTCCTGCTGGCAGGCCTGTGCTGCCTGCTCCCCGGCTCTCTGGCTGAGGATCCCCAGGGAGATGCTGCCCAGAAGACGGATACATCCCACCATGATCAGGACCACCCAACCCTCAACACGATCACCCCCAGCCTGACTGAGTTCGGCTTCAGCCTATACCGCCAGCTGGCACACCAGTCCAACAGCACCAATATCTTCTTCTCCCCAGTGAGCATCGCTACAGCCTTTGCAATGCTCTCCCTGGGGACCAAGGCTGACACTCACAGTGAAATCCTGGAGGGCCTGAATTTCAACCTCACGGAGATTCCGGAGGCTCAGGTCCATGAAGGCTTCCAGGAACTCCTCCGTACCCTCAACAAGCCAGACAGCCAGCTCCAGCTGACCACCGGCAACGGCCTGTTCCTCAACAAGAGCCTGAAGGTAGTGGGTAAGTTTTTGGAGGATGTCAAAAAACTGTACCACTCAGAAGCCTTCTCTGTCAACTTTGAGGACACCGAAGAGGCCAAGAAACAGATCAACAATTACGTGGAGAAGGGAACTCAAGGGAAGATTGTGGATTTGGTCAAGGAGCTTGACGGAGACACAGTTTTTGCTCTGGTGAATTACATCTTCTTTAAAGGTAAGGTTGCAAAACCAGCCTGAGCTGTTCCCATAGAAACAACCAAAAATATTCTCAAACCATCATCTCTTGAACTCTCCTTGGCAATGCATTATGGGCTATAGAAATGCATGTCAGTGTGGGCTCTTCAATTTTCTACACACAAACACTAAAATGTTTTCCATCATTGAGTAATTTGAGGGAATAATAGATTAAATTGTCAAAACCGCTGACAGCTCTGCAGAACTTTCCAGAGCCTTTAATGTCCTTGTGTGTACCGTATATGTAGAATATATAACGCTTAGAACTATAGAACAAATTGTAATATACTGCATAAAGGGATAGTTTCATGGAACGTACTTTAGACGACTCTAGTGTCCCAGAATCAGTATCAGTTTTGCAGTCTGAAAGACCTGGGTTCAAATCCTGCCTCTACCACTATTAGCTTTTGACACCGAACAATGCATTCTACCTCCTTGAGGTGTTAATTTCCCATCTTAGCATGGACAAAATACCATTCTTGCTGTCAGGTTTTTTTTAGGATTAAACAAGTGACAAACACCTTGGGAAAAGTGTGGCATACAGTAGGTGGTGGACTCTTCTGTATCTCAGGCTGCCTTCCTGCCCCTGAGGGGTGCTCTTGAGGCAAAGGAGGGCAGTGGAGAGCAGCCAGGCTGCAGTCAGCACAACTGGGGTCCTGGCTCTGCTGTGGCTTAGGGCAGGCCCCGGTCCCTCTCCAGCCCCAGTCTCCTCCTTCTGTCCAATGAGAAAGCTGGGATCGGGGTCCCTGAGGCCCCTGTCCACTCTGCATGCCTCGATGGTGAAGCTCTCTTGGCGTGGCAGAGGGGAGGCTGCTCAGGCATCTGCATTTCCCCTGCCAATCCAGGGGATAAAGAAAACCCTCAGGAATAGTAAGCAGAATGTTTGCCCTGAATGAATAACTGAGCTGCCAATTAACAAGAGGCAGGGAGCCTTAGACAGGAGGTAACAAATATGCCTGATGCTCCAACATTTTATTTGTCATATCCAAGACACCCTCAAATAAACATACGATTCCAATAAAATGCACAGTCAGGATGGCATCTCTTAGCCTTACATCTCTGCGATGTAGAAATTCTGCATCTTCCTCTAGTTTTGAATTATCTCCACACAGACCTTTTTGGCAGCCTGGATGGTTGGTTTCAGCACCTTTTGCAGATGATGAAGCTGAGGCTTGAGGGATGTGTGTCATCAAGGGGGTTCAGGGCTTCTCAGGGAGGGGACTGATGCCTCCTTTATTCTACCACACTCTTCCAAACCTTCACCCACCCCTACTGATGCCCACCTTACCCTCTCTGTCCAGGCAAATGGGAGAGACCCTTTGATGTCGAGGCCACCAAGGAAGAGGACTTCCACGTGGACCAGGCGACCACCGTGAAGGTGCCCATGATGAGGCGTTTAGGCATGTTTAACATCTACCACTGTGAGAAGCTGTCCAGCTGGGTGCTGCTGATGAAATACCTGGGCAATGCCACCGCCGTCTTCTTCCTGCCCGATGAGGGGAAACTGCAGCACCTGGAAAATGAACTCACCCATGATATCATCACCAAGTTCCTGGCAGATGAAAACAGAAGGTGATTCCCCAACCTGAGGGTGACCAAGAAGCCGCCCACAACTCTTAGCCACTTTGGGACTGAGCCCCATCAGGACTGACCAGAGGGTGGGAGAGGGTGAACAGCACATCCCTGGGTCACTGCTACTCTGCATAAACTTGGCTTCCAGAATGAGGCCACCACTGAGTTCAGGTGGCACCGGCCATGCTCCATGAGGAGGACAGTACCCAGGGGTGAGGAGGTAAAGGTCTCGTCCTTGGGGACTTCCCACTCCAGCGTGGACACTGTCCCTTCCCAATATCCAGTGCCCAGGACAGGGACAGCAGCAGCACCACCACACGTTCTGGCAGAACCAAAAAGGAACAGATGGGCTTCCTGGCAAAGGCAGTAGTGGAGTGTGGAGTTCAAGGGTAGACTGTCCCTGTGGGGATGGGGGAAGAGCCTGTGTGGCTAGGCCCAGAAAAGCAAGGTTCAAAATTGGAATAGCCAGGGCATGTTAGCAAAAGGCTTGAGTTTCTCTGTCACTTTATCGGTGCTGTTAGATTGGGTGCCCTGTAGTAAATGATACTCGAATATGAGCCACACATTAGTGTGTCTGTGTGCATTCGTAATTATGCCCATGCCCTCCTGATCTAGTTTATTTTGTCCACTGTAAAACCAAGATGAAAATACAAAAGGTGTTGGGTTCATAATAGGAATTGAGGCTGGAATTTCTTTGTTTCACGCCAGCACCTCCTGAGGTCCCTGCTCCAGGGGTTGAGAAAGAACAAGGAGGCTGAGAGGGTAACTGATCAGAGAGCCCAGAGCCAGGCTACCCGCTCACACCAGACCCTGCTCGGGGCAGCTCTGTCTCCCCATGGAAAACAAGAGGGGAGCACTCAGCCTGGTGTGGTCAGTCTTCTGGGGGCACTGCCACCAGCCCATGTTCCTCTGGGTATAGGGCCCTGGGGATGTTTCAGGCTGGGGGCCCAGTGACCAAACACTACAGGGCAGGATGAGACATGCTTCCAGTACACCTAGAATCTCAGAGGAGGTGGCATTTCAAGCTTTCATGATTCATTTGATGTTAACATTCTTTGACTCAGTGTAGAAGAGCTAATAGTAGAACAAACCAAAGTCAAGTTCCCATGTTAGAGTGGGTGGAGGACACAGGAGTAAGTGGCAGAAATAATCAGAAAGGAAAACACTTGCACTGCGGTGGGTCCCAGAAGAACAAGAGGAATGCTGTGCCATGCCCTGAATTTCTTTTCTGCACGGCAGGTCTGCCAACTTACATTTACCCAAACTGGCCATTACTGGAACCTATGATCTGAAGACAGTCCTGGGCCACCTGGGTATCACTAAGGTCTTCAGCAATGGGGCTGACCTCTCGGGGGTCACGGAGGAGGCACCCCTGAAGCTCTCCAAGGTGAGATCACCCTGATGACCCTGTTGCACCCCGGGATCTGTAGGGAAGAATGTATGGGGGCTGCAGTTCTGTCCTGAGGCTGAGGAAGGGGCCAAGGGAAACAAATGAAAACCGAGGCTGAGCTCCTGAGGATGCCCGTGATTCACTGATGCGGGACGTGGTCAGACGGCAAAGCCAGGCAGGGGCCTGCTGTGCCGCTGGCACTTTCAGGGCCTCCCTTGAGGTTGTGTCACTGACCTCGAATTTCATCTTTGCCCAGGACCTTCTAGACATTGGGCCTTGATTTATCCATATTGACACAGAAAGGTTTGGGCTAAGTTGTTTCAAAGGACTTTGTGACTCCTTCAATCTGTGAGATTTGGTGTCTGAATGAATGAATGATGTCAGCGAAAGATGACTCTTACTTTGGAAAACTAAAGGTGACCAAAGAACAACTGCAGTTCCGTGAACGGCTGCGTTGTCTTGGGGTCTGGGCATTGTGAAGGTCACTGTCAGGGTCCATGTCCTCGAGGAGCTTCAAGCTGTGTGCTAGAAAGGAGAGAGCCCTGGAGGCAGGCGTGGAGTGGCGATGCTCTTCCCCGTTCTGAGTTGTGGGTGCACCCTGAGCAGGGGCATAGGCGCTTGTCGGGAAGATAGACAGAGGGGAGCCAGCCCTGTCAGCCAAAGCCTTGAGGAGGAGCAAGGCCTGTGTGACAGGGAGGGAGAGGATGTGCAGGGCCAGGGCTGTGCAGCGGCAGAAAGGCCTGAGTGAACACTTTCTGGGAGGTGTCCACGTGAGCCTTGCTCCAGGCCCGGGCTGGGGCACAACTCAGCCTTAGAACATGTCTCTGCTTCTCTCCCTTCCAGGCCGTGCATAAGGCTGTGCTGACCATCGATGAGAAAGGGACTGAAGCTGCTGGGGCTGTGTTTTTAGAGGCCATACCCATGTCTATTCCCCCCGAGGTCAAGTTCAACAAACCCTTTGTCTTCTTAATGATTGAACAAAATACCAAGTCTCCCCTCTTCATGGGAAAAGTGGTGAATCCCACCCAGAAATAACTGCCTGTCACTCCTCAGCCCCTCCCCTCCATCCCTGGCCACCTCCCTGGATGACATTAAAGAAGGGTCGAGCTGGTCCCTGCCTGCGTGTGACTGCAAACCCCTCCCATGTTGTCTCTGGGTCTTCCTTTGCCTGCTGAGGCCGTGTGTGGGCTCCAGGTCACAGTGCTCTCTCCAGACCCCGTCAACTGTGTTCATGGGGCATCTGGCTGGGCAGGCATATGCTGGGCCAGGACGGAGGGGGCTGAATCCTCAGCTTACGGACCTGGGCCCATCTGTTTCTGAAGAGCTCCAGTCTTCCTTGTCCTGTCTTGGAGTCCCTAATAAGGAATCACAGGGGAGGAATCAGATACCAGCCCATGACCCCAGGCTCCTCCAAGCATCTTCATGTCCCCCTGCTCATCCCCCACTCCCCGCCACCCAGAGTTCCTCATCCTGCCAGGGCTGGCTGTGCCCACCCCAAGGCTGCCCTCCTGGGAGCCTGAGAACTGCCTGATCATGCCCTAGCCCTGTTTTGTGGCATCTGCAACAACAAAAGAGAGAGGACCGTGTCCTCTTCTTGTCCCACTGTCACCTAACCAGGCTTGGGCCCTGCGCCTCTTGGGCACTTCTGGAAAATGACTGAAGCAGATTCCTCCTGAAGCCCATTCTCCATGGGGCGACAAGGACACCTATTCTGCCCTTGTCCTTCCATCGCTGCCCCGTAAAGCCTCACATGTCTCAGTTTAGAATCAGGTCCCTTCTCCTCAGATGAAGAGGAGGGTCTCTGCTTTTTTTTCTCTATCTCCTCCTCAGACTCAACCAGGCCCAGCAGTCCCCACAAGACCATTACCCTATATCCCTTCTCCTCCCTAGTCATGTGGCCATAGGCCTGCTGATGGCTCACGAAGGCCATCGCAAGGATTCCCCAGCTATGGGAGAGGAAGCACAGCACCCACTGACCCCTGCAACCCCTCTCTTTCTCCCCTGAGTCCTGACTGGGGCCACATGCAGCCTGATTTCTTTGTGCCTGTTGCTGTCCCTGCAGTCTTCAGAGGGCAGCCGCAGCTCCAATGCCATGGAAGGAGGCTGTTCCTGAATAGCCCTTGTGGTAAGGGCCAGGAGGGTCCTTCCATCCTCCAAGGCTCTGCTAAAGGGCACAGCAGCCAGGAGGTCCCCTGAGCCCCCAGCTGAAGGACAGGCTGCTCCCTCTGTCTCTACCAGGAATTGCCTTGTCCTGTGGAAGGCACTGACCCATCCCAAACTAGTCTTGGAATCCCTGTCTAACCACTCACTGTCATGAATGTGTGCTTAAAGGATGAGGTTGAGTCATACCAAATAGTGATTTTTGTAGTTCAAAATGGTGAAATTAGCAATTCAACACGATTCAGTCTAATCAATGGATACCAACTGTTTCCCACACAAGTCTCCCGTTCTCTTAAGCTTACTCAGTGACAGCCTTTCACTCTCCACAAATACATTAAAGATATGACCGTCACCAAGCCTCCTAGGATGACACCAGACCTGAGAGTCTGAAGACCGGTATCCAAGTTCTGACTCTTCCCCCTGCCAGCTGTGTGACCTTCGTGAAGTCGCCAAACCTCTCTGAGCCACAGCCATGGCCAGTAAGACCTGCCTTTGAGTTGGTACGATGTTCAAGTCAGATAGTAAAACAACGTTTACACCTATTAGAGCAGAGAATAAATAGAGCTACATTTCTTGCATTGATGAGCTTTCTGTGAATCAGACATCCCTGTGAAGAACCTCCCTGGCTATTTCTCATTTAATCACTGTAGCAGCACTGTGATGTGTGAGTAGATCCGCTGTGCTCTTAAACTCCAAATCTACATATGAGGAAACTGAGGCTCAGAGAGGCTGCTGGTCTCCCACAATGTCACATAGTTCATAAGTGGCAAAGCTGGCTTGATGGGCTACTCGTTCCTCTGAACCACACCACCTCACCACACTCTCCCCTTCGAGGGTCATGCTAAACTTCTGCAGAGCTAATTCCTCCTTAAACCATAAGGGTTGCTGGTGGCCCACAGCTCACGCCTAGCACGCTTCATGAGAAAAACGCCCTCCACCCAATGTGGAGCAGGCCCTGAGCTGAAGGTGGTGAGCAGAAGCTCATCCACCAGATGTTGACACAGCCCGCGGCCTTGGGTGACCCACAGGACTCCTCTTATTTAACTGGCATTTGGTAGGAGAACAGGGGTAGAGTCAAAGACAAGTGGGCTTTCCGGAGCAGCCAGGACAGGGAAGGAGGCTGCAGTGTTGAGGGCATCACCTTAGACACCATCGTTTTACTTTGAAGAATCGTCTGTCACACACGAGTTGACAGTCTGGTTGGGAGAGACTCCATTCAAACCAGCATAAGCTCCCAGAGGAATTCCCGGGCTCCCGTGGGAACCAACAGGGATCAGTCAGGGATGGGCAGAGCGTCATGACAACCTCGTTAGGAGGAAGACAAATACATGTCACAAGTCCGTGAGGCAACAGCCATAAGACCTCAGCTTCACCGTATCTTCCAGAGTTTTTTAAAAAATGTATTCACTGTCTAATGTGATCCTCCAGACAGGTCCTGCAGGACTCAGCCTAGGAATCATTATCCCCAAAGTACACATGGGGAAACTGAGGCCCAGCAGGTCAAATGGTCTGTCCAGTGTGGGCCTGGAAGGCAGGACTTCTCCGCTCTTAGGCCTGGCTGTCCCCAACTGCACACACTTCCTCAGTCCATATGGGATCACAATAAAAACTCCATCCTCCAGAACCGCACTGCGTCAACCGGCTGTGCTCTAACAGCAGCTGAAGGCCGAGCTGCGGGGCATCCTGGGTGTTCCGAGTCAGTTTCCCACTGCAGGCAGGAACCTCATCCTGCTCTGAAACAGATGAGAGGGAAACACAGAAAACAGCTTCGAGCTCAGCCGGGAACCTCAGAGTCATGACCTTTTACCCCACCTAGGAGTTTGCAGGGGACAGAACACACGAATTTTAGATTTTAAGCCTAAATAAAGGAAGCCTTGGTTTGAAGTGCAAGCTCTGCCAGACAGGGGGCACCCTGTGAGCCCCATTTGTTAAGAGGACAATAGTCAGGGAGCTTCTAGGTTCTCACACCAGAAATGGGAAATACAGATTATACATTGATCTCCCTCCCAGGAGCAACTTGATCCTCCCATAAATCCGAGCAGGCAGCATTTATTCAAACAACAAACAAGCAAACAGGAGCTGCGTATGGGGGATAGAGAGATGAAACCCAGGTCCGTCCCTGGGAGAATGCTGGTCTACGGCGGTGGGGAACGGTGAATAAATGAGGCGTGCGTCCATGGATCTGGGTGGAGAGGGTCAGGGTGCAGCCCGGGACCTTTCCAGAGGCGTGAGAAATGGTCAGCATACACCCGCAGATGACCTCAAACACCCCAAGGGCTCCTTGAAAGGCTGAGGCCTTTGTATTGTTCTTGGTTGGAAAATTCACAGGCAGTGGAGTGAACAAGGCACGCGGCAGGACTCAGAGCCAGGGACAGCTTCTGCAAGAACCCGGCTCAGTTCTAAAAGGACAAATGGAACGACCCTGAGTAAAGAAGTCAGAGAAGGGCACCCTCACTGAGGCAAACTCCCTCCCCAGCAGGGACCCAGCAGCAACCCAAAAAAGCAGGAGTCTCACTTCTTCATCATATGGGAGAGGGCAGGCTGTGTGATCTCAGGGAAGTTCCTCAACTTCTCTGTGCCATAGTTTCCTCATCTGCAAAATGTAAATCGAATTTGAGGTCTCGATGAAATGACTTATTTCTCTAAAGTTCCTTGTCCTTGTCCCATGCAGCCTAGAAATCTTCCTCTGGCCTAGTTGTGGAGCCAAGGATAGACCGGGCCTGAATCTCACATTGCTGGAGATGGTGAAGCTGACCAGCATGAGAGGTCAGGTTTTAGAAGCCCAAATCCCAACAGGCATAAGCCTCACCCTCCAATATCAGCTTTATCAGAAACAAAAAAATAACATGTCATATCCATTTGTCCTTTTCCTTAAATGAGTGGCACTTGGGCAGGGCAGAGGGGCTGATTATCCAAGCTGGGAAGACGCTGACAGCAGACGCTTCAATGGGAGGCTAGGAGTTTTCTGATAACTGTCATTGGTATCACACTTACTATTGAAATCGTGACATCAGGAATGATGCAAGGAACTAGAGTCACATGGTCTGGAGCAGGGAAGTGAGGAGCTGAAACCTCCTTCAACCTGGTTGCTGTGTTCCCAGGGTGGGTAAAGCCCCTCTGTTCATCCCACATGGAACAAATAGAGTAGAATCAGTCCTTGCTAAAGGGTTGAAGAACTGAGCTGTGAGCTTCTTGACTGCTGCAGCACAATCCTTGCCCGTCCTGACTGATATAACCAGAATTCATGAAATGCATCAAATAAGCCTTCACCTACTATGCAAGCCTGGGAGGGTGACTAAGATCTGAAAAACACAAGGAAAGCTAAAGGAGCTCCCACAAGGAAACCCCATTAGAAAGTTCTAGTTACAAGGTACTCAGCACAGGCCATGCAGAAATAAGCCCAGATCCAGTGGTGAGCAGGAAAGGGTGGGGATGTGAGTGCTGAGCCACACAGGAGAGACTAATAGAGGCTCGAGCCAGCAAGGGGACGGCCACCACCCCACGCAGTGTTGGCCAACAGCTTCCGGCGCATTTGCTCTCAGAAGTCAAAGCTGATTTTCCAGAATTGAAGTGCTCATTGTTTGGGATGATTTAGGAACAACATCAGCAAAAACGAATGAACAATCAGGATTAATAGAATTGTGTTTAAACTCTGTTGGGCTTCCTTGACAGAGGGCACGGGGAGCAAAAAAAGTCAGCAGTGTGTATTAAGTAAAAAAACTTTTTTTTCCTTTTAATTGGCAGTTAATACCCTCAAAATATGTTCTGAGATTGATCAAGTAAGTGTCCTTCAGCATTAAAATATTAGGATGCAATTGCTAAGGGCTTCTTAGCAAAGTTGAAAGAACACAGGAATCCCAACTCCACCGTCTCCTTAGCATGCAATCCTGAGTGGGCTGTTACAGCTGTCTGTGCCTCAGCGCCCTCACCTGCAAGACAGGTAAAATAATACCTAACTCCTA